ATGCTGCTGCTTTAACTATACCACAGTTAGGACTAACCTTGCAGTACTCTCTTCAAAAGTTAGAATGTTTCTGGAGAAACACAGCTGTGATTACTTGGGTCACAATACATAAGCCATGTGTCATAGCACTGAACTGATGGGCGACTGCTATTTATAAAATAATAAGCAGGTCTGTAAACTTTTTTTAAAAAACAAAGAGCTTCATTGAACAGGTTAAAAAATTTTTAAGAACAATGTTTCAACCCATCATTTTCTACAATACAAAATCCTAAATCTTGGTCTTCTTTTATAGTTCTGAGCATTTTATTCCAGACCACCACCAAGCAGCCTGTGTTCCCTTTTATGCTGCTGCTTTAACTATACCACAGTTAGGACTAACCTTGCAGTACTCTCTTCAAAAGTTAGAATGTTTCTGGAGAAACACAGCTGTGATTACTTGGGTCACAATACATAAGCCATGTGTCATAGCACTGATGGGCAGTAAGACTGCTATTTATAAAATAATAAGCAGGTCTGTAACCTTTTTTTAAAAAAAAACAAAGCGCTTCATTGAACAGGTTAAAATTTTTTTGAAGAACAATGTTTCAACCCATCATTTTCTACAATACAAAATCCTAAATCTTGGTCTTCTTTTATAGTTCTGAGCATTTTATTCCAGATAGATAGAACTACATACTAACTTTGCCTCAAGTACTAATAAGGCCACACATTTCTTTTCAACCACTTTGCAAATAGACCACTCTAATTCTAACTCCCAAATTCTAATTTCCAAGCTCTACTTGACTGCATTAATTCACAGCTCTGACTCCCTATCTCAACCCCTGCCCTTATATACAAAAACAGAACCTTTTTAGCCAGGCACCACAGAGTTCATTTATTATCGTTCTTTTACACTTCTCAACTACCCAACACCCCTGAAAATAAGACTTATATTAATTTTTGCTCCAGAAATGCATTAGGGCTTATTTTCAGGGGATGTTTTATTTTTTTACATGTACAACCATCTACATTTATTAAAATGCAGTCATGTCATCTTCTGGTGGCTGCACAAGGGTGGAGGACGGGGTTTCACTTCACTATTTCTTGTGACTCCCTCCAGGGAGGAGGGAGTGGTAGTGGCAGCTGTCATGTTGGCATTAAGGCCCCTACACAAACTGGCCTCAAACTCCTTCTGCCACAGGACCAGATGCTTCCTGTCTCAGTTTGGGAATGCTCTTGCTTGTTGAGGTGGTGGTGGTGTGTGTGTGTGGGAGAATGGATCCCACTGGCCTGCGTAGATGAGACAGAGTCAGTCCCGGTTGCTACACAATGAGTCTCTGGTGGAAGGCAGGGTTTCACTTAACTGAGGCTTATTTTGGGGGTTGGGCATATATTATGAGCATCCTGAAAAATCATATTAGGGCTTATTTTTGGCAAAACAGGTTATCAAAAGTCTCACGTCTGGTGTACAGTCTTCATAAAACTGTCAAGAAACCTATCAGTAATAGTTCATCTTTTGTTTCCATCAGATTCACGATTTAGGGAAAAGAGAAGATGTGAGTGCTTAAGGTTGAAGAGTAGCACACTGATGAATACACAGGTGACTAACTAGCTCAATACGAGCCTGAAAGATAGAGGCAGTGGGGGTGGATTAGCTGATTCTCTGTTTCTTGGGCTGTTGAGAAGTTACACCCTTGCTTTTTCACTTCCCCTTCCTTTGTGCATCCTTGATTCTTTTTGTTTTGAAATCTTTAGTCTGTTGTGTGACAGCATTTCACCAGACATTTCAATTTTGAGCTTCCCAATTGACATGGCCAATTACATTCCATGTTGTCTTCACTGTATCTTTGAATAATTTATTTTGTCCACCACATTTTGAGCACCTGCAGCAACATCTCCATAGAGAGGAAGTTTTGGGAGATGATTGTCAGCCAGCCCACTGAGATTGATACTCTTTTAACATTATAAAATGTGTCATCTGTATTTGCTCTGAGATGTCTGGGACTTTATCTTTGATGCTGAGAATTTTCTGAATACAAGTGAGATGAAAATGATTGAGCTTTCTTGCATGGTGTTGTTATGTAGTCTAAGTCTCCACTCCATAAAGTGGAGGATGGAACAACAGATTGGTACATCTTCAACATAACAGAAAGATCAATTCCACAACAATTCCATGCAAAGGACTGATGGACCAGAAAGACAGCTGTCTTTGAAAGACTTTAGAGATTCATGGAGTCATTTCATTGTCAATGAGAATGCAATAGGAGAGAGTGCTTTCAAGATACATGAAATCCACTGCAGTAATGGATTGTTCCTATATCTTTAGAACAGGTTCCTTACAAGGCAGAGAAGCTTGATTTATCATCACTGTCTTATCACTCCTGATCTTCAGGCCAAAACTGTTACAGGCAGAGAATGGATCAAGACTTCTCTGATTTAGAACAGGTTCCTTACAAGGTAGACCCAGAGAAGCTTGATTTATCACCACTGTCTTATCGCTCCTGATCTTCAGGCCAAAACTGTAACAGGCAGAGAATGGATCAAGACTTCTCTGCACATCCAAAAGTGTGGTTGTATTAAGAGCAGTCATTGGCAAATAAATGCAGCTGATTACTATGCAAACAAATACAAACCTGTAAACATATACTATAAACAGTGCAAAATCATTACACAATCAAAGGCTGATCTTTAGCTTCAGATTTCCACATCAGAATCGCCACATTCTGGCAGTTATGTTTCCTTTTCTCTATTTCTAACACAACTCACACTATTTAATGTTAAATGTTCTTCAATGCTTGCTTAATGAAAACCTAAAAATGCTAACCAAAAATAGAATAAACTTTTCATGAATCAGTAACTTAGTCGTATCCGACTCTTCGTGACCCCATGGACCAGAGCACGCCAGGCCCTCCTGTCTTCCGTTGCCTCCCGAATCAGTAACAGAACGGTAGTATTTTAAATGGTTGGAATCAGTTGCAGAACCATAAACAGAAGGGCCTAATATCCAGCAGCAGTTATTCACTAGAAAAACATGAAGGGATGCAATTTTTAAAAAACCTCTTCTCCACTTTGCAGCCTCTAGCACCACTTCACATACTGTTCTGAGCTGCCTTTGCATGAAAAATCCATCACTTTGGCAAAATTTCTTTCATCCAACTTCAAATCTATTTCTTAAAGATGTAACTTGTGTTCAGATTCATTCTCAAATGCCAATGGCCTAATCCCAATGACTGTACTGCTGCCACAATACCAGTACTATTTTTCCTCCATTGCCTCACTTCTACAGCTCTCCGTACAGTCTGAAAAACCACAGGGGGTTCTTAGTCTTCCAGAGCTTCTTTTGGGGCCACACTGGAGCTGCATCAGGTGATGCCCCTCCTCCTGTTTCTGCTGTCACACCAGCAGAAATCCAGCACTACCTATTGCAGAAATCTCAAGAAAGCAGGGTGATTCCATGATTATTTACAAGCAAATTCTGCTCCTGCTTGCAGATTTATGCCTAGTTAGTTATGTGCCATCAAGTCAGAGCCGACTTGTAAGTCGGTAAGTGACATATTTAAGGAGTGGTTTTACCAATTCCACTCCCTGAGTGAGTTTCCATGGCCATGTGGGTATCTGAACCCTGATCTCCACAGTCCTAGTCCACCACATGTCTATAAATACTTTTAAAAGGCTTTCTAGCTAAATAATTTCATTCATCAGGGTGAACAAAGTGCAGCTGGTGAGCCACACGTACCCACCAAGGGATTCTTTGTAGTGCAAGACAACAAACACACAAATTAAATTATGACTTTCTGCTCTCTAATCAGAGATCTTTAGGAGCAGTATTTTTAATAGGCTAAAAATGCATGAAAACAGAAGTGCCCATGCAGTCACATCCTATTTTTAAAAAACTCTAAAAATTGTCATTTTAAAAAACTTGAATGCAGATTTGTCTCCCAAGTCTCAATTTTGCCACCAGTGTTACACAGTAAAATTGTTCTATTTCACACCAGAGGTGAGAGATTACAAAACCTAGTATTTATTGCCCTGAATGTCCATACATGAATGATAGGAATGCTAGACTACTGCCTGCGTGATACCTAGTTTTCCCAATGTGTGAGTTTTCCAGCCATGAAAAAGAACTTTTTGTAACAGAGACAGTATACTTTCCTAACATGAGAGAGGAGCTATCCTAAGAAATAGAGTGCTTTTGTGGAGTGGGGAATGGAAGAATTCCACATGTCTCTCCCCCACTTCCCCATTTGGATCCGATTTAAGGTTTGGTACAAGGATCCTCTTTTCAGCCTGTAAAGTTTGTTGGGGCACAGCATCTGATGCTGTGAGGCCAAAAACCTAAAGAATGGCTTCCTACGGATCCTCTTACCTAACTTGTCTCATTTCAAAGTTAATATTTTTAATACTAGGAAGAACATGAGCAAAAATGCTATCTTTAACCAAATCAAACATCCAAACAGCAGAAACAGATACTCTTTAAATTTATATGAAATCCTCAACTGAAGGTGTACAAAGCAAGAACATTTCAGAAACCGCTTGTGTCACATGGCAGATATGGATAGTTTGCCATCTGAAAGAGCTTTAAGAGAAGACGTTGGAGTAGAGTCTTAAAATCAATCATGTCTTCCCACTCTATGTTCAGGATTAACCTTTCCCCAACCAGAAAAAAAATGTAGCAAATAGCTTTAAGAGAAGACGTTGGAGTCTTAAAATCAATCATGTCTTCCCACTCTATGTTCAGGATTAACCTTTCCCCAACCAGAAAAAAAATGTAGCAAAATACCAAAACAATTCCACAACAGAAGTGGAAGAGGCTTCAGGTGAGGAAATAAAACAGCATTCAAAGTGATGTTCTCTCAGTCCTTAGCTTTACCAATATTTGCACCAGGTATCCGTTCAAACCCACCACGCTTATCATAAGCCTTCTGTTATGACAGAAGGAGGATTACAGCTGTCAAATTGTTCCACGTCTAAAAAATATACAATGCCAAACCCACAGAAGGAAACAGAGCAACATACACAAGGGCATTTCTTAGGAGAAAACTTTATTGATCATCTTGGTAACAAAGAAGAACTTTATGACCTGGGTCTCTCCTTTTTGCCTTTGTACAAGGCTAAAAGAGAAACATTGGCTACTTTGACAACCTTGAAACGAACTCCAGGAATGTCACCAACAGCATGGCCCTTTCGACCAAAGCCAGCAACCAGAACTTCATCATTCTCCTGGAGTGAAACAAAACAAGTAACAATATTTGAATGAATGAAAAGATTGCAAGTGTCAACTGTTCAAGTGAGTTCATTTGTCACACAAAATCTTCAGTCAGTTCCACCATTTGTCACGAGCCCAATAAGTCCTCATTTCTAACCTGCTCTGAATTTTCCTTTTTCCCCTAGGTGCATTCAAGTTTTGCATTCTTGGGTAAGTTGCTGCCTAGAATTTTCTACAACTTCCTTTGCATTTTCACAGCATATTTTCCTTTAACATTAAACTAAAATACTTTACAAAACTTTCAGACTTTTCAATATTATATTCTGCTACTTTACAGAACGAAGTTGCATATAATACCAAAACCTGATTTAATTACTCCTTTAAATTATTTTCATGATTATTTTTTTTACCTCAATGAAATTCAAACAGCCATCGTTTGGGACAAAAGCTGTAATCTTCTTGCCATTCTTGATCAACTGGACTCGGACACACTTCCTGATGGCAGAATTTGGCTGCTTAGCCTCTACACCACTAAAATGACAAGAAAAAAAGTTTCAAACTGGCAACGTTCAAAGTAAAGAAGAGCAAAGTGATGCATGAAAGTGGAAATATTTTTTTAATCCAGCATTGTTAATTCAGCCAAAAATTTGAAGGAATAAAAAAAGACATCTCTCTTTGTTTCTAAAAGATCTTAAAACAAAAACAAAACAAACAACACTCAGTCAAGTGAGAGCAAAAGATGCTTACAGGGGATCCTAACAACACCTCACTAGCACACTATAAAAGCGAGAACGGTAACATTCTAAGTTATACATACAACAAGGAGTCTTGTGGCACATTATAAACTTAAAAGCTTAAGTTTTCATGAACTTTTGGCATGCTGAAGACGGACCACTTTATGTGGCATAAACTTGCACTGTAGCCAACCTTTTTAGATGCAGAGTGTGTAGTCACAGTCCAGAGTCTCATGCCTGTCCACTGTCGATAAAATATGCTTAAACAATCTGAACTAGGTGGCCTACTACCTGAATCAAGTACATAATACTATTACTGCCACAGGCAGAGGAGCAAAAGCAGCCATCCCATCACCCCCAGTTTCAGAAATACAACAGTCTGTGTGTCTCTAGTTACATTCAAATTACATCTGCATAAATTCACCCAGAGGTGATTGTGTAGATCAAATATCCTATAGACAAACGTCTATTATATGTATCATCTACCAAGACTGACATATGGTGTATCTCTTGAGGCAATAAACACAAAACCTGAAAAATCAAGAAAACTTCTGTTATATTTTACAAAAGAACTCTTAAGTGAAACAGAAGTTGGATACTACATTTACTAACTAAAGCTATATGGAACCCATAAATGCACACAGAAAGAGGCAAAAAATACATCCTTGTGTTTGCATTCATTTTAACATAAGGCCTCTTCACCATTCCAATGTTTCCTTACACCTCTGGTTCTCTGTTCCTGCTGCTGTAAAAAACTTATTTCAGCTAAATACTGCTTCTGTCATGATTCCTCATATTATCACTATAACAACACAATAAAAAATATTTTGGTTGTTGTGGGTTTTTCGGGCTCTTTGGCCATGTTCTGAAGGTTGTTCTTCCTAACGTTTCGCCAGTCTCTGTGGCTGCCATCTTCAGAGGACAGAGTGCTGTCCTCTGAAG